GTTAGTTAGTTAGTTAGTTAGTTAGTTAGTTAGTTAGTAGTTAGTTAGTTAGTTAGTTAGTTAGTTAGTAGTTAGTTAGTAGTAGTTAGTTAGTTAGGAGTTAGTAGTTAGTAAGTTAGTTAGTTAGTAAGTTAGTTAGTTAGTAGTTAGTTAGTTAGTAGTTAGTTAGTTAGTTAGATAGTTAGTTAGTTAGTTAGTTAGTTAGTTAGTTAGTAGTTAGTTAGTTAGTTAGTTAGTTAGTTAGTTAGTTAGTTAGTAGTTAGTTAGTAGTTAGTTAGTAGTAGTTAGGTAGTTAGTTAGTTAGTTAGTTAGTGAGTTAGTTAGTTAGTAAGTTAGTTAGTAGTTAGTAGTTAGTTAGATAGTTAGTTAGTTAGTTAGTTAGTTAGTTAAGTTAGTTAGTAAGTTAGTTAGTTAGTTAGTTAGTTAGTTAGTTAGTTAGTTAGTTAGTAGTAGTTAGTAAGTTAGTTAGTTAGTAGTAGTTAGTTAGTTAGTAGTTAGTTAGTTAGTTAGTAGTTAGTTAGTTAGTAGTTAGTTAGTAGTTAGTTAGTAGTTAGTTAGTAGTAGTTAGTTAGTTAGTTAGTTAGTAGTTAGTTAGTTAGTTAGTTAGTTAGTTAGTTAGTAAGTTAGTTAGTTAGTTAGTTAGTTAGTTAGTTAGATCGTTAGTTAGTTAGTTAGTTAGTTAGTAGTTAGTTAGTTAGGTAGAAGTTAGTTAGTTAGTTAGTTAGTTAGTTAGTAGTTAGTAGTAGTTAGTTAGTAGTTAGTTAGTTAGTTAGTTAGTTAGTTAGTTAGTTAGTTAGTTAGTTAGTTAGTAGTAGTTAGTAGTTAGTTAGTTAGTAGTTAGTTAGTTAGTTAGTTAGTTAGTGTTAGTTAGTTAGTTAGTTAGTTAGTTAGTTAGTAGTTAGTTAGTTAGTAGTTAGTTAGTAGTTAGTTAGTAGTTAGTTAGTTAGTTAGTTAGTTAGTAGTTAGTAGTTAGTTAGTTAGTAGTAGTTAGTTAGTTAGTAGTTAGTTAGTTAGTTAGTTAGTTAGTTAGTTAGTTAGTTAGTTAGTTTAGTAGTTAGTTAGTTAGTTAGTTAGTTAGTTAGTTAGTTAGTTAGTAGTTAGTTAGTTAGTTAGTTAGTAAGTTAGTTAGTTAGTTAGTTAGTTAGTTAGTTAGTTAGTTAGTTAGTTAGTTAGTTAGTAGTTAGTTAGTTAGTTAGTTAGTTAGTTAGTTAGTTAGTTAGTTAGTTAGTTAGTTAGTAGTTAGTTAGTTAGTTAGTAGTTAGTTAGTTAGTTAGTTAGTTAGTAGTTAGTAGTTAGTTAGTTAGTTAGTTAGTTAGTTAGTTAGTTAGTTAGTTAGTTAGTTAGTTAGTTAGTTAGTTAGTTAGTTAGTAGTTAGTTAGTTAGTTAGTTAGTTAGTAGTAGTTAGTTAGTAGTAGTTAGTTAGTTAGTTAGTTAGTTAGTAGTTAGTTAGTTAGTTAGTTAGTAGTTAGTTAGTTAGTTAGTAGTTAGTTAGTTAGTTAGTTAGTTAGTTAGTTAGTTAGTAGTTAGTTAGTAGTTAGTTAGTTAGTTAGTTAGTTAGTTAGTAGTTAGTTAGTTAGTTAGTTGTTAGTTAGTAGTTAGTTAGTTAGTTAGTTAGTTAGTTAGTTAGTTAGTAGTTAGTAGTTAGTTAGTTAGTTAGTTAGTTAGTTAGTTAGTTAGTTAGTTAGTTAGTTTAGTTAGTTAGTTAGTCAGTTAGTCAGTGTTAGTTAGCTAGTTTTACCGCAACATTTCACTCATTTTTCAAACTACATAAATTTAAAATTATTTATATCATTCACTTACCAAATTAACAGCCACAGTTGTATCAATATCCTTATCAGCCAAAACGCTAGCCCCATTGATCAAAACATCAACATGACCCACATAGCTAATAACTTCATGTACAGCTTTAACAATACTCGAATACTCTGCAACATTCACCTGGACAAACAATACCTTTACCTCACTGTTAATAGCTTGCAATTTCTTCAACATTTCAACATTTTCCATGCGACTGCAAACAACTAAGTACTGCAATTATTTAAAAAAATAATTTTATAATAACTTGTTATTTTTCTTGTATTTCCTTTCTTTCCATTCTCTCACCTTAATTGGTTTCTTCATAAGCATTTGACAGACTTGATAACCAACGCCAGTGAAGCCACCAACATAGACAACATGTTTATTAGTCCAATCGAACATTTTGGCAGAATGTGTTCCTTTCTTTTTTTAGTTAATGCTTTCCTTAGAACGTTTTAATAAAAACTGTTGCTTATAAATTAAAAAATTTCGGCTTTTATAATTTTTTGATATCAAAAATATTAAGAATGCATTTTTTGTTTTGCAGTGATAAGCTCTTATTAGAATAGATCATCAAATGTTTTTCTTCTTTTGTTTTGGTTGAATGCAATTAATTGTCAGTTAAGTCTGACCTTAAGATATTTTAAATTAATTTTTTTCTTAGAACATTTAGAATTGTATTAGAAAACAAAGGTGATTGTCTTAAGATTAGATTAACATAGACTTGATGAGTAAGTTCTTGTGAAAATCAGGGATCGTTTATTGTTTGAAACTTTAAGTTAAGATAGCACGAAAAAGGAACAAGATATAACAGATTGAACTTTTGGAATGTATGCTACTTTCAAACCATGAAGCCTAATTACCGCATTCGTAATCGAAAAGAAATTTCGATAACTAAACCGGTAATTTGGTTCACGGTTTCTGTCTAATCGAGGGCTGCATAGAATTCAATCATTGTCGGATTTGGATTTGAAAACGACAAAAAACCCATCACACAGTGATATAGAAATAAAAAATAGGGAAATAATTCTGTAACTTTTTCCGATTCTAATGAAATTTACGTAAAGATGAAGTGTTGACAAGTTTAGGTTTTGAATTTGTACTTCATGGGCCCAGCAGTGATGTAGACAGAGGTTCGCAAATTAGGACACCACGGGTATGTTAAATTTTGAAAACGATCCTATTTCTTCGTTTGTATTTCGATTAAAGTTAATATCACGTATATAGAGTCCCCTTATCGAACACTATAGCTATCAATAATCTCTTATAGCTTAGGAAATATTCGCATTTGAAATTTAATTTTCAACGTTTTTACCGACCTTAATCTAGTTTTTTATAACATCGGGTAAAAATATTTTCCGATTTTCATCATTCTTCTTTTTTTCGCTCAACAACAAATGTATATATCTAACCGTGAAAGAATTGTTTAAAAATCCTGACTGAGTCCAAGGTTATATGCATTTCAATTTAAAAAATGCGAAAATATTGATAAAATATAGATAAATATTGAGGGGATCAGGTGCAGGTCAAAAAAAACGCCTATATTTTATCTAAAATTCAACTTTAAAAAGAAGAAAAAAAATTCATAGATCGCATAGTCGATATCAAATTTTTGTAAAATCTCTTTAGATGGTTCAATATGTTCTTAATTATTCTGTAAAAGGTTTCGATAAAACCGCGCCCGGTATGGATATTATGACTAAAAAAATAAATTTCTGGGATTTTTCAAAACTTTTTTGAGAATTGAGGGATTCGTTTTACATTTCCAAAACTTGTCAGCACTTCATCTTTACGTATGTGAAATTTCATTAGAATCAGACAAACCGTTTAGAAGTTACAGAATTATTTCCTTCTTTTTATTTCAATACCACTGTGCATCGGTTTAACCCTTTCAGGGACAAAAATAATTTATGTCTAGAAAAAACTTGAAAACTTATATTTAAGATAATGTTAGTATGCTGAATCCGGGAAAAATAACATTTTTTGAATTTGAGTTTTCCCTAGTGAGTTATAGAAGGTCAAAGTTAAATGTCGAATATATTCGACATTCGGAAAACAGTCTCCAAAAAGTACCACCAATATTTTTTATGATTTTTTTTTGTAAAATGTCTTCTTAAACTTCTTTCAATACAATACAATTTAAATCAGCATAGTCCGATCTCCTAAAATACAATTTTTTTGGCCATTAAATGAAGCTGTTTTTAAACGTTGTTAAAAAGCACTTTTTAAAAAGTAGTCATAAGTGACAATTTCTTAAAATCTGATTTTTAAATACTTTTAAAATACGGAAGATCTTTCAAAATCTCAATTATAAATATAATAAAGTCTTCATTTTCATCTAAAAGAAAAAAAATTAAAACTAAAGTTAAATATTATACCCAAAAAATGCTTAAAAACAGAGTCTATTGTAATGTCGAATATATTCGACAAAACCACGGAAAGGGTTAATGAAATTCAAAAATCGATCTTTAAATAGCGGGGATATGAGCAAAATTACAAAACAACCCCTGAAAATGTTAAGTTTTTTCTCCATTCTTGATTCGATTTTAGATCAATCGAAATTGTTTCAATTCTTTAGCTGTTATTCCGATCGAAATAGATTTCATGCATGAGCTAATTTGCATTCATTGTCTTGCAAATTTACTACGAAGATTATAATTCCCCCTCCTATACATAGACAATTTTTGCCGAAAATAATATAAATCCACGAATGTAAACAATTAAGTAAAAGTAGAATTATTCATGTACATTTTAACGGTAAACAGTTTATTAGGCCTTAGTATTTAAATAACACCTTTAATCTGTTCAAGTTTTTTTTAATTTAACTTCACAAAATTCCCGCACTTAATAATCCACATAAACCGTAGGTTGAATTTCTTTCATAACACCAACACTGCAAACATAAATGCCACCATTTACAGCACGCTCCATGACGTGCATCATATGTTCGGCACATTCCTCTGGCGTTATCATTTTCGCTTCCTTAACAACATTCCAAATTTCCTCATTATGCGATATCCATTTCATCCAATTCATATCACGTTTATTCATCATTTCTTCGGAGGAGGTGAGGCCGGGGCAAATGCAAATGAAAGCAACGCCTGTTTTGCCATAGTAGTGTTCATGCTGTTGAAGCAAACATAACAAAATTTTTTATAAATCTTATTTTAGGCATAAAAATAACAAACAAAAATCTTACCGCCATAGATCTAGTAAAACCTATAACACCATGTTTAGCAGCTGAGTAAACACTAAAAGCTGGACCAGGTTCTAAGCCATAGACTGAAGACATGTTTACTACTCTACCACCATGTCCGAATTGAGTTTTGTCCATATGTGGCAAAAACAATATGGTGGTATTAATTAGACCTGTCTGAAAATTAAGAAGATAAAAAGTTTTAATTTAGAATGATCTGTATATCTTAATTTAGTAATGATTTATTTACGATTAAGTGATTTTCAGAAGCAGAGAGCAATTATGGACCGATACGGAATAAAATTCGCTAAATAATTTCTATATAAACAAAACATATTCGTGTAGAATTTTATCACCATAGCATTATTAATTCATTTATATCGTAACTATGACTAATTATAGGCAGGTCCTGAAAAAATGTAGCTGAATAATTTTTATATGTACAAAACAGATTCTTGTTAAAAATGTTCGTTTAATTGATTTTCGAAAGTGGACCTTATATGGGTGCTAAGTTCAATTATACACCAATCCAGGTTTTATTCGGTAATACTATTTCTTTTTATGTTAGTTATATTTAGCCAAAATGTTGTGGTAATACCGATATTCTAGAGAGAGTTTTATTAACAATACATTCAATTTCCCGGAGAGTGTTCTATTATATGCTTCCGATATGAAATGTTAAACCTATTCTAAAAATTTTGAACCATCTTAATTTCTGGACGAAAGCTGCTATCGTTTCTGAAAAAAAGAACTAAACAAGAATGAGAAATAATTAAAAAGTAATATTTTCATGGGTTGTTTCGGAATTTTGCTCATATCACTGCAATTTATGTACCAATTTTGCTGATTTTAAATAGCGAACATCTCTCTACACCCGGGGCATGTTACCTTGATAAACTTCCCCATCTTGGTGTGATTGTAATCCGGGGAAAAGAGGTGCTATAAACTGGTGGTGTCAAATGTATCCTCGGTCTTTTCTCAGAATGATTAGGGGTCGAAACGGAGAGCTATATTATGTGGTGGCAAACAGGCCAGAGTTTCGGACTTTGTCTTGTACCGGTCCCTTCGGGGTGCTCGTGTTGGCTGTGGTTTATACTCGCGAAAAGAGATAAGTTCGATGATGTAGCCGAAAAAAACAACAGATACCCCACAGAGGAGTGACTGTGGGACTGAGCGTTGGTTGGTGTTAAATGCATAAGATACAAAATAAATGAGGAGTATATGGATCTAGCCCTACCCATATTATCGTATGAATATGTCGAATGTTTCTCTCAATGAGTGTGTCAGATAAATGAGAAGTGTACTGGGTTGAATGGTAATGTTCTTGGATAACACCATAGAATTCCCTTCTTTGTCCAGCTATGTTCAAGCTTCTCTCTGTTCGTGCCTCTACATACGGATAGACAGACGGACACAGCTTAATAGACTCCGTTAACTATAAGGATCCCGAATATATATACTTCATAGGGTCGGAAAATTATATTAAAGAAATTACAAACAGAATGTAACTTATATATACCCTTCTCACGAAGGTGAAGAATATAAAAAGTGAGTTACAATTTGGAGTAAGTGAGGGGTACAATTTTCTAATTTTAAAAGTGCTGGAACCGAACCGAGAACTCAACCGATTAATGTAAAATTATTCACTTACCAAATTAACAGCCACCGTTGTATCAATGTCCTTATCAGCTAAAACGCTAGCACCATTAATCAAAACATCAACATTACCCACACAGCTAATAACTTCATGTACAGCGTTAACAATACTCGAATAATCTGCAATATTCACCTGGACAAACCGTACCCTGATCTCACTGTTAATAGCCTGCAATTTCTTAAGCATTTCATCATTTTCCAAGCGACAACAAACAATCAAGTACTGCCGAATAAAAGAAAATAAAATTTGATTGTAATTTGTAAAATATTTTCCTTCGGTTTTCGCCGCACTCTCTCTCTCTCTCTCACCTTAATTGATTTCTTCATAAGCATTTGACAGACTTGATAACCAACGCCCGTGAAGCCACCCACATAGACAACATGTTTACTAGTCCAATCTAACATTTTGGCAAAATATTTTCTTTCTTAATGCGTTGTGTGCTGCTTTCCTTAGAATGTTTTAACAAAAACTGTTGTTTACAAATTGAAAATTCGGCTTTTTATAAATTTTTTTATTAAAAAAATATAAAGAAATGCATTTTTTTTTAATTTTTGCGATAATAAGCTTATTTTAGAATGTATCATCAAATATTCTTCTGTTGTTTTGATTGAAAGGAATTGATGGTTAAAACTGGCCAATTATAGATCATATAACATGCGCATCTCTTTAAAAAACTGAAATATTTTTTAAAAGCTTGGCGGGATAAAGGTAGAAGAAAAAGTAACACAAAGAACCTTAACAACCCAGCAGGAAATATCAATAGTGAACTTTTATTGATCCAGTCATCAGTACTACATAGTGACTTATTTACCCCTATTCCACGTTTCGCATTCATGTATTCCCACCAAAAAGTGGAATCGTAAAAAAAGAAGAAGCAATTCCATTTCGCTTCATTTGTAAGTTGCTATTTCAGTGCTGGAGCATCGGATCGAAATGCAGTATATTAAAGTTGCCAAATTTTACTTCGAATTGAAATATGTACAGAATAAGACAATGTCGCAAAAAATTTACCAACAATAGTCAACAAAACTGGTGACTTGGAGATACTTTTCTTACCAGGTTTCCTTCAGGGTATGCATCATTCTCACGTGCACGTTTGTTAATAATTTCGTATGTGTATGTATGTATGTATGTATGTATGTATGTGTTTTTGATCATTTTCGTTGCTAAAAAAAATTTATTTATTTACGGCAAATCTCTTTCCTATTCTATTGTCCGCTTTACATGGCGGGTGTTTTAATGATTTGTTTACACAAAGAAATAACAAAAAAGTAAATGTTTTTTATAAAGAAAATAAAATTTTCCATAAAAAAATGGTCAAAAATGTTTTTTTTTTTTAATAACACGGTTTCATTTGATTCATTTAATATAGAATAAACATTTCAGAACATTCGTTTTAATATAGAATATACATATGTATGTACGTATGTATAGTAATATGATTTAAAATCCTAGAGTTAGGTTTTGGTATAAAATTTTATTTTAGATTAATTGCAAAGAAATTAATTAAAATTGTTAGTGAGTTAGTTATTTAATCAGTTATTTAGTTATTTAATTCGTTAGTTAGTTAGTTAGTTAGTTAGTTAGTTAGTTAGTTAGTTAGTTAGTTAGTTAGTAGTAGTTAGTGTTAGTTAGTTAGTTAGTTAGTTAGTTAGTTAGTTAGTTAGTTAGTTAGTTAGTTAGTTAGTTAGTTAGTTAGTTAGTTAGTTAGTTAGTTAGTTAGTTAGTTAGTTAGTTAGTTAGTTAGTTAGTTAGTTAGTTAGTTAGTTAGTTAGTTAGTTAGTTAGTTAGTTGGTTAGTTAGTTAGTTAGTTAGTTAGTTAGTTAGTTAGTTAGTTAGTTAGTTAGTTAGTTAGTTAGTTAGTTAGTTAGTTAGTTAGTTAGTTAGTTAGTTAGTTAGTTAGTTAGTTAGTTAGTTAGTTAGTTAGTTAGTTAGTTAGTTAGTTAGTTAGTTAGTAGTTAGTTAGTTAGTTAGTTAGTTAGTTAGTTAGTTAGTTAGTTAGTTAGTTAGTTAGTTAGTTAGTAAGTTAGTTAGTTAGTTAGTTAGTTAGTTAGTTAGTTAGTTAGTTAGTTAGTTAGTGACTTAGTTAGTCAGAAAGAAGAAATATGTACATCTGTTGGGAATAGAACTCACGACCTCACACTTGACAGACTATTGCACAGTGGGGCAGAATGGAAATTTTTTGGAAATAAATCTGGCATTTCTAAACGGCTGATCCGATCGGGATAAAATTTGGCGTGAGCGTAGCCAAGGAGTATTCGAGTTTAAGTTTTGAAGATGAACCCTGCAGATGCCCCAGGGACGGCGCTGTGGCGGCTCAAAGTAGGGTACCTACGACATGTAAAATTTTTAAACTCGTGCCATTTTTTTGTTTTTCACCCAAATACAAAGATTTTTATATTTTGTGAAAGCGCTCGACGAGATCTTGAAAAAACATGCTTGGACATACTACTTATCTCTTATAATATCCGAGTTATAGGCATTTAAAAATTTAGTGATACAAAATTTACCATACCTTGGTCCGCCTTTTTTTGAATACCGGGCGTAATTTTGGACCAAATGGACTCAATTTTTTCTTGTTAGTTAGACAACAAAATTTCCAATAATATACAAAAAATTTCAGATCAATATCGTTTACAGATCCAAAAATATACGTTTTTTAATTTAAAAATTCAAAAAATTTTAGATTTTTGGCGTTTTTTTGCCAAAAATGTGTCTTAACTCTTTTATTAATAAAATAAATTTTTTATTAAGAACATATAACAATTTTATAGTTTTCTAAAAGGTATCTTTACGCAGAACGCTTTGGCGTAAAAAACTTGTCCTATTTTTTGAAAATGTTGCCACTTCGTCCTTCCGAATATGACCTATTTTTTATCAAAACTTCAACTTTGGGCGACATGTTCTAAAATCCCAAAGCTGGGATCAGAAAACTGAAAGCAGTTTTGGAAACCTCAATATGTTTTCTATTTACTCCAAAAGTATTTTCCCAGCCCTGAAAGAAATGTGGACCCTATGGGCAAAAAAGTAAAAAATCCCATTTTTGGGATTTTCATTCCTATTTTTGGGAATTGCGGGATGCCCTTTGACCTTTTCAATTTGCATATGCTTATTTGAAATGACAAATTTAACAAGCGTTGAAAATTTCATTGAGGTTTGTTCATAAATAAAGATTTTGTCATATATTACATATTTGTTTAATTTCTAAAACTATGATTTATATCAACATTTTAATAGGATCGCAGATAGCTACAACAATTTAGTCCATATTTATCCCTTAATATCATTTTTTAGTTAGATATGGAAATTCTCGACCCTTTACAAAAAATTTCAAGCCAATATCTCAATTACATTCAAAAATATGTTCATTTAAACCTGTGTCCTTTAATTTCATCTTTTTCATATTTTAGTATTAAGTATGACAGCACATATTTAAATCTTATATTTACCTATTTTCTATTTGTTTGCTTATCCTTATAATTGAAAGGTCCTATTATGCTTAAATTTTCAAAAATTTATAACTATTTTTTACCTAAATTTTTTCGACAGATCATTTCGTTCTGTTTCGTTTATGATCATGTAGGTAAAAATGTACAGGTAATGATAATTTCGATTCATTCACTAATAAGAAATATCAATGACTGAATTACAGGTTATAGTAATATAGTCCTAAATGTTAATAGGTAGACAATTCGTAATTTTTTACTTTGGAATACCTGTATCGGAAATGACAAGAATTGGTATATAAGTAAACTTCTCAGATTTTAAGTACCATATTTAATAAATCTACAATGAAGATTACATTAAAGTACGAAGAGTTGTGTTCCGTTTTATGGAGTATATCTTCAAAAGGGCCAGAAAGAATTGAAGACATTTCAAATTATATAGAAACTACATATAGTAGACAAAACAGGCATATCAAAAATTTAAAACTTTTTGATGTAAAAAGTAAGTCTGTGGATGGAAATCAAAAGAAATTTCGATTAAAATTTTGTAGTTGGACGGAAACTACTACGGAAATCTCAACTTACAACACATCAATAGGAGCGCCTTGCAAGTCATACGAAGACTTATGTTCAAGGTCAAAAAAAAGAGGGTCACACAAAAACTTTTTTCAATCTCAAATGAGGAAATTGCTGATACATTTAACGAAATGCTGAAAAAGGAAAACCAACATATGGATGTCGTACATATTGCAACTATTCTTCCTAATGCATCACCAAAACGACTTAAGCGAATTGTGGAAAGTATACCAACTCCAACATCATAATCAAATTTTACTGAAGAGGAAGCAATAGCGCTTATGTTGGAACTGGGTCTCAGTCGAAATAAGTACCAAATATTAAGAAAAGCTCTGCATGAAAAAGGACACAATATATTACCATCATACAAGGCGATCCAGGAAAAAAAAACAAACTATCCTACTAAATCAACAAAAAATAATGAAGAATTGAAAGAACTGAGAGCTGCGAAAAAAAGCAGAATCCAAGAAGAATTTAAAGTTCAGATGGGATTAAACATCGACAAACCACTTTCAAGTTGCGGTAGTACAAATGACGGTAATACGTCGAGAAGGTTTTTTCGTGATTTTGAAATTACTTCAAAAATAACTGGAATCGACAAGGAGTTGCTTCGAAGAGTTAACACTATTTTAATGGCACTGAATAGTAAACATAAAATTAATGGAAATCGATTTGGGGAATATATATCTGAAATTTCTAAATTACTTGTATCTCTGTATCCATGGAGGGAACTAACACCAACAGTACACAAAGTATTGTGTCATGGTCAAATAATAATTGAATCGAATATTCTTCCACTTGGAGAGTTAACAGAAGAAGCCCAGGAAGCGAGGAATCGAGATTTTAAGCATGTTCAACTATTCAGCTCAAGAAAATGCTCCAGGCAATCACAGAATGAAGATATTTTTAATAGTTTACTTCTATCTTCTGATCCTGTTCTTTCAACTATGCGAAAAAGATGGATTTGTTATGCAACTCTATTATCTCAAAACAAGGAAGATTTAAAGGACTTATATTACCTTCTGGATATGTATACCGATATGACAGATTATTTTATAGAAAATAAGTAGTGTTAGGAATTAACTATATAAGTAGGTTGTAAGAATTAATTGTATTATGTTTAAGATAAACAGTTCAAATAAAAAAAGCTATTATACTAACTGATGATATTGTATTAAATTGTGTTTTATATTTCGGTGGGCGGGAAAGGTAATTTGTGTGGGGTGATTTAGGTGTTGTTGTGCGTGGCTCATAATAAAATTATAATTTTTTTTATTTAATATACAATATTATAATAAAATAATTAACTAAATAATTTTTAAAAATTGTCCAAATATTTTATTCAACACCAAATGTATGTTCTGTCATACTTAATACTAAAATATGAAAAAGATGAAATTAAAGGACACAGGTTTAAATGAACATATTTTTGAATG